TTAAATCTTTTGCAAAAACCATCTTTTAAAAGTGACTCATATCGGATTATCTGCATTTACACTGCACACAGCAAAGATGCAATAATAAGGAAAAAATGCGGGCGCTGACTAACAACAGATAATAAAAAAGAGATCTTTTCGAGAGGGGTCTGGATGCAGACCTGGGGCAGTGCAATCTAGGCTGCATCCAAGGCTTTTTAATGGGCTCACCTATCCCCACCCCTAACCCTAACCATCACAGTGACGTCACTCGCTCCATTTGAGTGCATTGTGTCAGACATTGCATCGCTGAGTGATGCAATCTCAGCTTGCATCATAAAGGCTGCATCCAGAGACTATTGATCTTTTCTCCATTCCTGTACTTAATTTTTAAATTAAGAATTTTAAAATTCTTTTTGACAAGTTGTTTATTATCATGCTTAAATAGCTGTGCTTCATGACAATATAAAAGCTTTTTAGTCCTCATGTATGAGATTTAGGGTTTGGGACTCTGCTAAAGTCTGTTCTGAAATGAAGCAGCAGAGTTGACGTAATACGATATGGTTTTTAACGATGCGCGACTCGCATTGCCCAGTTAATTTTTGACTCGTAAGTCAACAGAAGGGTTAAAAAGTAGAAAAATACTTATTTTAAGTAGCTTTAATATTATACTGTTTTACTGTGTTTATGATTAAATAAATGCAGCTGTAATTACAAATTTCTGACCTCCAACTTTTGTATTCCTTTATACGTATATTAACAAGACTTACAACACATCAGACACTATAGGAAATGATATTTAAGTCCAGTTCGGATAGAGTCCAATGCTCGATTGCAGCAGAGAGTTGTCTGACACAAGCTGGGAATGATTTAAGACAGCAAGTAACGCTTGGTCAGTGCTTCTGTCATTCGCTAACAAATACTTCCTTTCGTTGCTGCAAATCTCCTAAGGCCTAACCTTTCCAAATTTGTTACAAAAGAATGATATGTGAGGCCCATTTAAGCACCCCTATATAAAAAGTCAATAAATTGCATCAGGGTGATATTTGGCGGACCTAACCCAGCCATTTTAGTGGAATATGTCGACAATTAGACCGAACAGATGACTCAGAACACCTGCTATGTTTCGTGCAAAGAAAAATGTGTTGCAACCTTTGAAACTTTGAGAATTTGAATGTGCATCGATGACTTTTAAGTCCATTAAACAGCAACACTGACCTGAAGGGGTAGAGGCTGCATTGACGCATTGTGCTTTTAGAGAGCAGCTCTAAACGTGCTGTGGCAAACACATGGTTGGATTAACAGGCACCATGGCCGGGAATTGAATGTAAACAGGAACCCCGACACACACAGACTGAAGCATTGACAAATCTGGGTTAAAGAGACTGACCCCGTCCCGTTTAGTTGAAGCTATTGTGAGTAAAATCTGTCTTCTGTGGCTTTTTTCTCAGCCTTTGAGATTTCCGGACATGTCCAAAAATGCATTCTATAGCCACAAGGCACAAAACGATCATCCTTCTACAATGTGCAGGAGATGGAAAAGTGTGAGGCACAGAATGCGAAATTGTTGTGAAAGGGGGAAATATCTTAAGGGGTGAGAGTTTTCATTTCTTCAGCCAGTCATGGATTGTTTGTATCAGACAAACAGTGAAACTTTTTAGCTTTTGTGCTGCAGTTAATAACAATTTATTGTTGTAACGTTCTTTGTTGTGCAGCTGTTCTTCTTTTGAAATGCATGGTGATGACGTTTTTGTGAAGCCCTTCAGAGTCAACAAGCTTTACCTAGTGCAGGTCCATAATTACTTCACCTTTGAAATCCTTATTCTCGGAGTAGCCTTTGTAAACTGAGTGCGGTTTATTCAGGAGTAAAGAGTTTTCTTTTTTCTTTAACCCCACTTATGGTTTTCTACAGTGTCAAGGTGACTTTTATTTTTATTGGTTTATTTTTGCTGCAAGTTTGTTTAGGGAAAACCGATAGAGCTTTTTGAGTAAGTGTTTATAATTTGCTTTCAATGGTTGATGGTTTATTCCGCTATGGCGACCCCTGATAAATCAGGGACTTAGCTAATTGAATGAATGAATGAATGAATGAATGAATTTGCCCTCTCATAGACTGTTTAGCTTAAACTACCATACAGAAGTTTAGGACAACAACAGAATATTTTTTTTTTTATTATTCATCAAGGACCTTATAAATTTATGTGTCAAACTCAATTTAAAGTGACAGATATGACAGTAAAGACATGTATTATGTTACAAATTACTTAAATTTAAGAGATGCTGTGATTATTATGCATTATATATATATATATATATATATATATATATATATATATATATATATATATATATATATATAAATATATGTTAATATAACATATATACATACAGTTGAAGTCAGAATTATTAGCCCCCCTGTTTATTTTTCCCCAATCTCTGTTAAACAGATTTTGTTCAACATATTTCTTAACATAAAAGTTTTAATAACTCATTTCTAATTACTGATTTATTTTATCTTTGCCATGATGACAGTAAATGATATTTTACTAGATGTTTTTTCAAGACACTTCCATACATCTTAAAGTGACATTTAAAGGCTTACTTGGGTTAATTAGGTTAGGCAGGTTAGGGTTGGTTTGTTCTATAGACTACTGAAAAAATATATATATATATAAATTATCAGAAAAAAAAAATCACACATACAGTGAAAATTCCCTTGCTCTATTAAGCATCATTTGGGAAATATAAAAAAATGGGGGCTAATAATTCTGACTTCAACTGTAGTTAAACAACATAAAAACCTTAAGAGAGCTGTGTACTGTTCTGTACTATACTCTACTGTATAGCTTGAGCTGTGATGTTTCTATAAATAGCAACAGTAATCTGGGTCTGTTTTTATTGTGTTTGAACTGCTTTTGTGAATGCCGTACTTACCATTGTTTGAGGACCTGGCGAGAATGCATCTGTTGAGAAATGCGTCTGTAGAAGCAGATAAGTGTGACGAAAGGCTGTAAAGGAAATCTTATGTGGAAATGCCATATATGGCAATGAAAATTAGTATGACAATATGAAAATATATAACCATGTACATGCTGCTGTTTATTTAGAATACTTCATATTACACCGGTTACTCACTGAAGCTAAGCAGGGCTAAGCCTGGTCAGTTGCTCTATGGGAAACAACATGGGAAAACTAGGTTGAAGTTGGAAGTGGTATTAGTGCGACATGCAGGGGACGCCCAACCTGTGATCTGTGTGAGCCCCAGTATAGTGAAGGGAACACTATACTGTCGGATGAGATGTTAAACCGAGGTCCTGACTCTCTGTGGTCATTAAAAATCCCATGGCACTTCTCGTAAAGAGTAGGGGAGTGACCCCGGTGTCCTGGCAAAAATCCCATCATCGCCCCTTACCCGTCATGGCCTCTCAATCATTCCCATCCACTATCACTGTCTCTCCACTCCACCAATAGCTAATGTGTGGTGAGCACACTGGAACCGTTGTCCTGTGGGTACCAACACATCATCTATGTGGTTTCTGCACATTGGTGGTGAGGTGGAGAGAACCCCCATCATGATTGTGAAGCACTTTGGGTGTATGGCCATACACAATAAAAGGCGCTATATAAATACACACATTACATTACAAGTATAAGTATGTTTATGGATATAATATAAGTTAAAAAATAAGACCTATTGTTTTTTTACCACTTGTAAATCCATTCCCCATATTTTTACTCAACACAACACTGAAAATGATGTGGAATCCACAATCATGAGCATGTTTATGTTGCTGTGATACTAGAACTCGCATCAGAATGCAAACGGTTAATGCAACCATGTCATTTAAAAAGACAACCTTGAGCTGATTAGAATTTAAGATCAGAAAGGTTATGAAGCTCAAAAAGACTGACAAAATCTGTTTTTTTCAGAGTCTTCCAGATCCTTGATAGGTTGACATTTTGTCAGTCAGGTGAACAGGCAGGTCATCGTCCTCAGATTTTTTTCAAGGTTATTGTCTTTCAGATGCATAATGAAGTTGATGTTACATACTAATATATTTCAGCTACATATTTATGAACAGTTCAAAAATAAAAAAAAATTTCCACACAACCAGTCTCCGTGACAGTATTTAATTCAGAATGGGACTTGTAACAAATTTGGGGGCTCGTCCGGGATATATTTGTTTTTTTAAACCTTTATATTTTGTCTTTATATTTTTGGGTTACATTCAACCACATATTGGTCAAGTTATTGATATTACAGTGATATGGTTATGCATCCTTTCCCTTTGTTGGAATCTATTTTGGTTCGCTGGTTGTTTCTCTGTTTTCTCGCAATGTTTAATTTAGAGGTATTTATTAATTCTCAGACTACAAAGGCTTTTCAGTTATGAAACACTTGAGTTTGAGCATGTGAAATTCTGTCGTTCGACACTGCGAAAAAGGGCAGGATCAAATCACAAGATTAAAAAACATTAAACGAAACACAAAAAGCAATCGATTTGTCTGTATTTTAAGGAAAGCAAGTGATTGGTCGATATTTTAAATGCACAGAGAGGTCATGTTTTGATCTTTGATTGGTCTCCCGCCGTCATGTGATGGGATTTTGCAGGTCAGAGTTCACCAAGCTTGAACTTTGCAACACAGCGAACTGCAAAACTTGTCGCATGATTTGAAATTACTGGTCTGCTCCAGTAGCATGCATGTGAATGGAAGTCTATGGGGCGAAAGGTGCAGTGTGATCTTGCCTTAACTTTTATTTCCTTAAATGAGGATATTTGTAGGTCACTGCTTAGTTCTATTTAAACTTATTTAAACAGGAGTAAAATTGCCATTTTAGGCATATTTAGATACACACATTCTACATCACTGTTTAAAACATACATAAATGAAATGGTGAGATAAAAATGACTGAAACAACTGTGATTTATAAATTGTTCTCTAAGTAATACTCACTGTACATTTTCTTCAATTGTGTATGATAACAAATGAATATTCAACATATTTGCCTTTTCTTACAGGTACTATGCCATCTGTTGCCAGCCGCTGGTCTACAGGAATAAGATGACACCGCTGAGGGTGACTCTAATGATTGGAGGATGCTGGATTATCCCAACTGTCATTTCCTTCCTACCCATAATGCAAGGCTGGAACAGTATAGGAATAAAGGACTTGGTGAGTCACATCTATCAGATGGTAGACTATTTGTGCTGATAAGGTTTGCGAAGACAGTCTGACTTTGATTCTCTTATAATGATGTTTCTTTCTCACCTTGCAATCAGTGCAAGCGTGTGTTATTAAAATGCTCTTTAAGAAGTGCAGGAGGTGATTAGGAAGGAGACTTGTGATGCATGAAAAGTGATTTATGTTTTTTCAGGCATTTCGCTTTCATCTTATTTTCTCTATATGGAGTCTACAAAAGGCAATTATGCATTCATGTGTAGAATCCAAGCCATTGTCGGTGTTTCCTGAAAAACAATTGCAGTCCGTATGGCTTTCATAAAGACAAGCTTTGAGGGGTGGGATGATTGAGGAGAAAATTAAATACCACCATTACAAGTAGCGAACTTAATCCATTACTTTCCAGTAAACAAGCAAAAATGGCCCTGGGTGAAGACTGATGCGTCGTAATTAAAGTCAAGCTGGAGATAGCAAATGTTGATGTAATAAAAACATCTTTGTTTTTTTCATGTTCATGTTGTAAATGTGCTGTTTGTGTGTGTGTTTTGACTGTTTTCAGTCTTTGGTTATTACATGTATCTTTCTACTATATAATTGAGCATTTCTCTCTGTCTGTGTTAGTTGATTAATAGGTGTATATTCATTTAGGCTTCCTTCCTGCATTTTCAACAAGAGGTAAACATAAAAAGAAGGAATTAGCATTCTGTACAATGAAACATATCTGGCATTCTGCCGTGTGGCGTATCGTGCGTTGCTCCTCGAGCATTACATTAATGGCTACCTATACTTCACATTTTTACAGATGTTAAGTGAGTCAAGCTTCCCGTTCTGCCAAAAGCACTTCTCAAAGGAACTAATTAGCAGTTGGATATTGAATATCAATGATAGCTCAGGCCAAAGTCCAGCTTAATTGGAAAAAAAAACAGTCTAACTCTGATCTGAAATTTGTTTGCAGTTTATAAAAGAAAAATGTACTGATCGTTTTGCTGCCGAGTTTAAGGCTTGGACAGCTCACGGTTTTGTGAGGAGCAGATAAAGAATGATTAATGGTTCTCATCGTAATGCTTCCACACATACTGTAGATCGAATCAATACTAGTGTGTTTGTAAACAATATATATCTGTATGTATTTATGGTAATGCTCTCACAGCCTTATATCATATACAAACTAAAAACATTAAATATCAGTTCTAATTACTGTCATCAAGCTCTTTTCACTTACAGCGTCTAGCCATTTAATCTTAGCTGTTGTTCATGTTAATTGTGGGGTTAAGCGCCGTGTTTTTGATGTATGCCACTAATTGCAGTTCAACGCATTTAAATATAGTAACATTTCTAATTGGAGCATGGTTTCATAAAATGTGAAACAGTTTGTTGATTTTTAGAGGAAAAAAACAAATCAGTTTGTGATTTGTTTCTGACCCCAAAAAATAAATAAAATACAGCAAACAAATTCTTAATAGAAAGTTTTCATGAGTTGACATATTGGAAGCACAAAACATAAATAATGCCAATAAACAGAACAAATCTTGCATGTTTTTGCTGATCACTGCTGTTGAAAATGACCAATCATTGTCATCTTTCGGGCTGTGGTAATTGGTTGGACCTGCAAAAAACATTTAGAGTACTACAGACTGCCAAAAATCCAATCAAGTCAAGCAGAAGAGAGAGCTGTCTGAGGAACAATAGGTGTTTGTGGTTGGCTAAACTGAAATAGAATTTCCAGGCCAAGAATCTTGGGAACACTCATGTTTGTTCTTATCATTTCAGGTCAAGTAACTTAATTGCTAATATCTTAAGTAATACTGCTCATACGCATCTTTTAGCACATGTTAAATTAAATTTATCAAAATATTGTTCCCGTTCCTGCTTGCAAAGTTGTTTTTAAAGCTAATGAAGATGGCAGAAGTCAATGATTTATTTTAATTATGTAGCCTGACATGTTTACTGTTCCAAAATATTATGAATGTTTCCCAAAATGTAATATTTTTTGTTAAATGAAAACTTGTTACAAAGACATTTACAAATAAATACTTTACAGCAGTAAATAATACTGTGAAACTGTTAAACCCTGATATTTTTATTCAAGGTTATCGTACCATCAGAAACTTATAACAGCCCATGCCTATTCAGTAGTACAATATCAATACAACCCATTCAGTTGTTCACATCAGAATACACTGAAAACAATTATTCATTGGATTTACTAAATGTTTTTAAGTTAAGTGGTTTCAAACAATTTATATGGTCTGAATTAAAACAAACAAATTAAATGTAGTAATTTTTAACTTTATTTGTTTGTTTAAATTCAGCTTTAATTTCAGTATAGAGTATCACACACACACACACATATATATATATATATATATATATATATATATATATATATATATATATATATATATATATATATATATATATATACATACATATGTATATATGCGCATACGGGTAATCGAAAACCCTCTATATCAATTCTGAAAACAGAATTGTTTGATACTTTTATACGTGGCCAAAGGTATTATATTAAAGTTGCCATGGTAATTTCCTAATTTATTAATATTTTGAAAAAAGAGATGTTTCTTTTTGGCTTAGTGCTTTTATTAATCCGGGGTCGCCACAGTGGAATGAACCGCCAACTTATCCAGCACGTTTTTACACAGCGGATTCCTTCCAGCCGCAACCCATCTCTAGGAAACAACCATACATACTCATTCACACTCATACACTACGGACAATTTAGCCTACCCAATTCACCTGTAACCCATGTCTTTGGACTGTGGGGGAAACCAGAGCACCTGGAGGAAACCCACGTGAACACAGGGAGAACATGCAAACTCCACACAGAAACGCCAACTGACCCAGCCAAGGCTCGAACCAGCGACCTTCTTGCTGTGAGGTGACAGCACTGAATGCGCCACTGCGTCATCATGTGTAATCATATTAATAATTAATAATATATATACATAAATAATATATATATATATATATATATATATATATATATATATATATATATATATACACATTTGACATCTTACTGTAAAAACAAACAATCTCATGTATACCACAATGGAGCCCAGTGCATTGTCTTTTATCTGTCAAGTAACAGTATTTATATTTTAACATTTTTACTTAATCTGATTTGTTTAATTGAAACATTTCATTACAGTTTGCTTTTTGTTGCAACAATTAAATAAACAAACAAATGGTTATGTGAAATTAGAACTGACGATCTCTGTTGAAGGCATTTGCCCCAACCTTTCCCATCATTTCCCATCCACTTCAAGAGACAGCTGTCAGTCACTTTCCATGATTTTTTGAGACTGCATTGGATTTCTTGCATCAGAGGGTGTATTTTATCCTCGATAAGTATAATTAATTTAGCAGTTAGAAACGTAATATACTTGAGACTGTATGGCACGTTACAGTGTTTGAATGTCAAGCATGTTTTATTAATATGAAGGGGCAAGAGTCTTTAGGTAGTGTGTTTTGGAAGCAAGATATTTACTGGCTCGTGACCTCCAGTTGAGTTCTTTTCTACAACTAGAGGTGCTTGTGTTTGACCAGATGAGATGTTGTAAGTAGCAACCTCTGCTCTTAAAAGGTCTCCTCAAATGACTGTTCCCTGAAGCCAAGGACACGTGGTGTAGAATATTAATGGACAGTCACAGAGGGAGAAGCTGCTGAGTGCTAGAAACCTACTAAAGAAAGTTACACACATTTAAGGCCAATTCACGCTGCACAGAGAGATGCCAACCAACAGCCACAGACACATTTCTTGGGTTTTGATGGTCTGTTGACACTGACCGGCACTTGTTTTCATCAAGTGAACATGTTGAATTGGTGCATGTCTGGCCTTGGAAGGTCTGAGAAGTGACGTAGTGTGATCTGGTGGCTGTCATCTGAATTCAGTTTTATGAATTGTGGCATCTGTTTATTAACATTGGCTCAATCAGGAATAACATGTTGAGTCAATGGAAAACTTTAGGTCAACAAACAGCATTGTGCAATTAATTGTTTTAAACTGTGACAGCGATTGATTGTACAAATTACATTTTAAGCCAATCTAAAAGTGTTTTACACATATTGCATATGGCTTGAGGAAACTAAAATTAAAGGCTAAAAGAAGAAAATTGTGGGTATCTTGGGAAACAATCATGAAACCTATAGATGTGTGAACCTATAACTTAAAGTAAACATACAGTTCTGAAGCAGAGCTTTTGAGCACAGGTCTCAAACTCAATTCCTGGATGGCCGCAGCTTTGCACAGTTTTGCTCCAACCCTAATCAAACACAGCTGATCCAACTAATCAAGGGCTGTTTCTCGATTTCAAGAGAACGGAAGGGCATCTGCTACGTAAAAAATATGCTGGATAAGGTTCATTTTGCTGTGGCGACCTCTGAATAATTAAGGGACTAAGCTGAAAAGAAAATGAATGAATTTAAGCAGAAGTGAGTTGGAGGTGGTTGGAGATAAACTCTGCAGAACTGTGGCCCCCTAGGAATTGAGTTTGAGACCTATGCTTTAGAGATTATTAATAATCCTCACCTTGTCATAGTTATATACAGCAAATTATGTCATTGAGTTTAGTTTGACCTAGTTTCTCTCTTTCTTATTTTCCTGCAATAATAAGTTCATTAGTTTTACTCATCAGTGTCACCTGTCTCCCATTTAGTCATCATCTCCACATGTATTTAAGTCTTTCAGTTCCTCTCATTTGTTTTCTGCTGTTGTTTATGTTTATGTGGATGTTTTTGTTGCCTTTTCTCTCTTTTGATTGTTAGTAAAGTATGAAGTATTATTATAGCCATTAGTTATGGGAAGTTTTTATCTTTTCCGCAGACCAGATGTTTTGAACAGTTTTTTACAATAAAACAGTTCAAAAAAGCAGATGACGTAATGACAATTCTCCCATGTTAGCACTCAACATATCAAAATACAGTAGTCAGCAATCATAATTTCAGTCAGTTAAAACATGATCTGAAAAGCTTCTTATGATTAGGTTTTGCAATCCAAATGAAGCATGATTCACTTACTATTTTAATGTCATTATGATTTTCTGTCATAAAATAAACTTATGTTTTACCAAATAGACTATACTGTGCTGCTGTGTTAGTCACAACAGGCTGTCATGTACTGTTTGTGTTTGGTTCACTACTTGCTGAATCTTGCATGTGCTGTAATATTAGTTTGCCAGTTTTCAAATCTGATCTCATTGTACTGTTCTAGTAACTGAATAACTCAGGAAATTGGTTTATTTCGAATCAGAGGGGGTGACAGGGATGTTAAAAAGTAATTTGTAGATAAGCACTTACTGGAGACATGAACTGCTTCAGGCAAATCAGTTCGATTTGGGGAACTGGTTCAACAGGTTCAGTTAGAAGATCCAGTTAGAAGATGGCTGGTTCGTTTGCAATCGTTCATTACTAATAACCACGTCATTGTGTGCTTAATCTGCCACTTACTGTGACATATCTTCATGTCTTGATGGTTTGTCTCATGATGTTTGTCTTATTCTCTTGATTCAATCTCCACTTTTCTGCACATCCATATTTGATTTTAAACAGACTTGCACTTCAACTTGACAGATTGACTGAGCTCAATAAATGTGTGGAGTAAATCTGTACAACTTAATATGACAAAAACTCCCAAAAGTAATTTGTAAACAAGATGTTTTGCTACTTCTGACAAGTAGCAAAAGCGAATTTTCAATGGTGTGTTCCATATAGTATGAATATGGGTAGTATGAAACTTGGAGGCAGTATGCTTGGTCAAATGCTAGGTCATTTCACCTCAAAATTGGGTTTAATATGGACAATCCCAAATGTTGGGTTATATTTGCCCCTATAAATGAGAAATATTAACCCAGCACTTATTTGTGTCAATATTTTACACAAAATTTGATTACTTACTTGCTTACTTCCATGGCATTTATATTGAAGTAGATTTTTAGCAGCACCATGTAGGTGTTTCATATCATCTAATTTTCACAAGGTGGGTCATTATCCCAATGCTTAACCCCCAACATGGAGGACCAGGACATACACACATACACTACGAACTAGTTAACTTACCCAATTCACGTATAGCGCATGTCTTTGGAATGTGAGGGACACCGAAGCACCCAGCAAAAACCCATGCAAACACTGGGAGAACACAGAAATGCCAACTGACCCAGCCGGGGCTTAAACTAGTGACCTCCTTATTGTGAAGCGACAGCGCTACCCACTGCGCCATCATGTAGCCCCTTAAATTGGATTAAAATTGCAAAAAATATATATGGTGAATTGAAGCATACTTGAAACTGAAATTTGCAGGAGGGAAGTGCGCCAGGAGCATCTGCGCTACCTATGTTATGATGTTTCACATCCAGTGTAGACATTGTTTTGTGCATTTTTTTGTATTTTCCGTAAGTTGAAAGTGTCATTATCCTTCTCTCGACAGATAGACAAGCGGAAGATCTCCGGCAACTCTACAGTATGTGTGTTCATGGTGAACAAGCCATACGCGTTGACGTGCTCAGTAGTGGCCTTCTACTTACCGCTGGTCCTGATGGTCCTGGCGTACCAACGCATCTACGTCACTGCACGGGAACACGCTCGCCAGATCAGCATGCTGCAGCGCGCTGGAGGAGCGGGGAATGCGGACAGCGCAGACCACCAGCGCAACCACCGGATGCGCACCGAGACCAAGGCAGCCAAGACTCTGTGCATCATCATGGGCTGCTTCTGCCTATGCTGGGCCCCGTTCTTCATCACAAACGTGGTGGACCCCTTCATAGACTACAGTGTTCCTGAGCAGCTGTGGGCCGCCTGCCTCTGGCTGGGCTACATCAACTCCATGCTCAACCCCATCCTCTACGCCTTCCTCAACAAGTCCTTCCGTCGTGCCTTCCTTATCATTCTCTGCTGCGGACACAAGCGATACCGCCGACCCTCCATCCTTGGCCCTGGAACGACCTGCACGGCCACACAGATTAATGGATCTACACATGTACTGAAGTAAGTAGACCAGTGTTTTCTTTCTTGCTACCTTTTCCTCTCTGCTGATGTGCTTACATTTGAAATCAAGATGGATTTGGGTCAGTATAAGGAATACTGATTCAAACTTTTCTTAAGGTATACTTTGTAACTTCTAGTGGTTATTTAAACTGTAAGCTTGTTGTGGAATATTTTGAATGGAGTTTGTGGCACAGATGTACACAATGAAATCTAAAAAAGTCATCTGAGAGAAATAGTATTTTGATGTTGTTATAAGTTATTGGAAACATTGTTGGTTTGGGATTTTTGATGTTACAAATGCTTACAGTTTGCCAGCTCTGATGAAATGTAGCCAAAACAGAGGCTCGGGAGATTTAAATGGAAATGGTTGACAATTTGGATGGCTGATTATTATTTTGTTGTTGTTGATGTTTTTTGTTTGTTTTTTAAGGGGAATACTATATGGCCCAATCCCAGTTCTCTCTCTTCGCCCTTCCTCTTACCCCTACCCCTTGTTTTGTGCATTCATGTGAAGGGGTAGGGGTGTCCTAATTCTCTTTCGCTTGATGGCGTAGGGCTAACGGGAAGCGCTAAATAGCTCTTAAAACTGAGATTTTTTTAGGATCACACTCGAAGCCGAGGGTTTACATCAATACACCATCTACAATGGCACCATGGCCACACATGGAGGTCAGAAGATGCACAAATTAGTATTTTTTGTCATTAATGAAATATTTTACAACAAACAAGAATATGTTTTAATGCATTTATAATGGCGATCGTGTTTTACCATCATGCTTTAAAAAAAAAAAACGCTACATTGTACTATCCATAATTCATAACAATAACTATGTAGCAGTCCCACAACATACTTTCACACCTGACACTCAATGACACATGAATGGCTAGTGGCTGGGATTTACCTCTTTACAGTGCCTAGTTAATGTTAATGTTGTTTTCGTTAGTTCACATACAGTATATGAATATGACCATGGTGTAAATGCACAGTACAGTTACAGTTACAGTTACACAGTACACTTATTGCCATATTATATTATTTTGATAACATGATATTGTTGCCTTCAGTGATTTCCGGAAGATAAATACTCAAATAATGCAACTGGAATAACTACAGCAGTCGCCATCATTGATCTCTTATTAAGCAAGAGATTGTGGTGACCCACTCTGTTTCAAGGGCCAACACAAATAAAACTGGGATTGGGCCTAATTTAATTGTCTATGTCAGTGACTCTTTTGCTTTATACTTTGTTTAATCTGTTTGAAAAATCTTTTTAGCAGCTTTAAATATTTTCAAATATCTGAGTTTATCGATTCTAGAAAAAAACAATGTTACAGCGTTGTAAAGTTTTACAGATATACAATGTAATGGCACTTGCAGTTTCCTATGAAATCCTACCTTACAGATTGCAATTTTATACAATTAATTATAGTCTTAATCATTATATTGGTTTAGGGTAAGACAAAAACAGGGTTTGTAAGACAGAGTTATAATGTACAGTAACACTTTATTTTGATGGTCCCTAAAAACCTAAAATGTCATAATGTGGCCTTCTCATAAAAATGACAAACTAATTTACCAGGACTCCAATCTTTTCAGTCACTTAAATCTTCAATCAGCTGGCAAGCTCACATTTATGTCTCAGAGTTCAGTGGTCCAAGAAATCCAGCTTTAAATATATATATTTTTATCAAAAGACAAAAATTGCCTGCTTCATTATCCATCTTTGATTTAAAATGCTTTCACATTATTATTTTGCTCATGTACCCAGGTTTGTTTGGATGACGTGAACAAAGTTTTCCAAGTAGAAAGCCGGTGTGTGGCGTGGTTCATTTGATCCCTGGTATGGTTTGCTGCTGATATGAACACAGTTGAACAAAATAACGCATGGGGAATTTCTACTTGCTTAAAATTTACAAAAAAAGTACATTCACAAACAGACGCCAGTGTCATTCTGTTGACAGTTTAAAAACAAAATCAAAGATCTTTGTGTAGTCTTAACATAGTGACAAGTGTAATCGGTTGTCACATTAATGATGCTGATATACTGTAGTTCAGATCCAAAACGTAGAATCCAAGGGCATAGGGGAAGTGATCGAACTTGGGTTTGGAAGAAGCAATCGAAGGGTAAAAACACCATTAAAGGTATTCGCTTTCAGTAATGTAGAAGACCTCCTGATTGATTTATTTTCATATACTACTGCTTTTCATTGTTTGCTTGGTGTATTGACTTGTGTTTGACGTCTGGTGGTCATTCGGAGAACCAGGCAGCACAGAATGAGTCCATGTCTTCCTGTGCACACCTTTTACTTTGACTGTCAGGTGTAATTTTCTTTCTTTGTACTACTTCATCTGACCTTTCTAGATTGCTCAACTCCTTGACCTAACAGCATTTACTCAGAAAAGAGCACATGGGCCTCTGTATATTGGAGTTTCTACAGTTATGTGTCACATGGGAACATAAAAACGGTGTTTTGGTCATCTCAGTTAGTCTGCACGTCTGCTTTAATGCTTTTGCTCCCATCTGTGTTGCTTTTAAATTATTCTCAGAACAGTCTTGGAGAAGGTTATTGGTTCACTAAAACTCTTTTGCTTTTGCTTTTTTGTGTGTACTGCAAGATTTTGATCCCAAACTAGATGCTAGGGGTAGATGCTAACTAGGGGTAGATGCTAATAAAATATAATTAATAGATCATATAATAAATAATGTAAATAATTCTTATTTCCTCTGGCCACAGCTGTATCCCTTCTAGCAACACCCCTTTGTACATTTCATCAGTGGGGCAAAGTCCAACCCATTTGTGATGATTTCTCCCTTATTAGTAGGGCTGCACAATGTATTGTTTCAGCATTCAGAATCTGCAATTTTGAGATTCTGGAATGTGTAGCTTTAACAAAGAATAATTACATTTAATTATTTCCATAAAGAAGACCATAGTAGTCAACATTTGAAGTGAATAACAAAAGTTTTTTTTAAAATTGTCCTGGGACAAGAATGGATGTTGTTAAAGAGTTTTACGACAACTTTGATAAAAGGTTTTAGTGTTATTTTATATTTGATCTGTTAATTTCTGTGCCTCAATACGTGTTAGACTCTCCAGAAAACCGTAAAGCACTGTTTATTTAATTTGTATCTATTTTGTTTTGTATCTTTATTCTTGTAATATGTCTATTATATTTTACACAGGCGAAGCAGTGGCGCAGTAGGTAGTGCTGTCGCCTCACAGCAAGAAGGTCGCTGGGTCGCTGGTTTGATCCTCGGTTCAGTTGGCGTTTCTGTGTGGAGTTTGCATGTTCTCCCTGCAATCGCATGGGTTTCCTCCGGGTGCTCTGGTTTCCCGCACAGTCCAAAGACATGCGGTGGGCTAATTTGTCCTTAGTGTATGAGTGTGTGTGTGTGTGGATGTTTCCCAGGGATGGGTTGTGGCTGGAAGGGCATCCGCTGCGTAAAAATGTGCTGGATAAGTTGGCGGTTCATTCCGCTGTGGCTGTGGATTAATAAAAGCACTAAGCCAAAAAGAAAATGAATGAATGAATGAATGATATTTTACACAGATTCACAGGCCTGCGAATGCATCACAATCAATATAAAACTATGAATTCTTTCCAAGTAGAGATATTAGCCATATTGTAAAATTCTATTCGCATTGCAATATTCAATATTCAATATTCAATACACATATTCAATACACAATACACAATATTCAATACACATTGCAATTCATTCATTTTCTTTTCGGCTAAGTCCCTTTATTCATCAGGGGTTGCCACAGCGGACTCAAATACCAGCTTTTCCAGCATATGTTTTTTATGCAGTGGATGCCCTTCCAGTTACAACTTATCACTGGGAAACACCCATACACTCTCATTCACACCCATACACTATGGACAATTTAGCTTACCCAATTTACCTATAGCGCATGTCTTTGGACCGAGGTGGAAACCGGAGCACCCGGAGGAAACCCACGCGAACACGGGGAGAACATGCAAACACCAAACCGAAATCACAACCAACCCAGCTGAGGCTCGAACCAGCGACTGTCTTTATGTGAGGTGAGAGCACTACCGACTCCACCACCATGCCACCCCCATATTGCAATATCTATCACAAAAAAAAATGATTGCAATGTCAGTTTTTTCAATATTGTGCAGCCGTACTTAGTACAGACAGCTCTGAGTGAGTAGCAGCCATCCGCCATTGAACATTTGATGCTGTACTTGCCATAGATGTCAATTATAAATGTGCCGTTTTAAGATGCACAAATGAACATCGTAGTTTCCATGGACTGCGTTCTTCTAAATCACTTTCTTTGACATTTTCAGTTTTTCACAGAGACAATGTTAGTCCTTTTGAAAAGGTACCACCGCAGTGACAGCTTGCGTACCTTTATTTCTGAGAGTGTAGACTCTCCTGTAGGTTACAGTGTAAGTTACATGTGGTGTGGTTACAATGTTAGTTACATAGTGGTGCTTTTTGGCATCACTGATGAAGGAGATGTGCAGATCAGAGGACAAGATGCTCTCTGCTGTTATCGTCTATAGAGGCAAAGTCCCTCAGGCCGTAACCACAACTTTGCATGTTATTTTTGATACAGCAAAGATTAAAGATTTAAGCCAGCTGGTCAAAGCCCTCAAGGGAAATCTAGAATGCAAGGATGTGGCTGTTGTTATTAATGCATACCGACGTGGAAGAAAGATGTACTGTATGCTGAGTGAAGGGCGTATATGCCGTAAAAGACATTAATATGATGTGTTGTTCAGGAGGGAAGTAACTGGGCATTTTTCATTTCAAATATATTTCTCAAAGATAAAGATCTTTTTTATGGCAGACTGTGCATGATCACATGCATTTTTCACCCCAAGTAATATGTAAAGCCTTACATAAGGCTACAGTATATTGCTTGCGGCGCTCCACAGAAGTTATTAGCATCACTGCGTTACAGCTGTTTTCATTTATAATTAGATATTTATTATTGTTTGTTTGATTTCATTTAAATTTCAA